CACACAAAATACGATGGAAGCAACATCCAGGTTGATATCTGATTGAGGCTCTGTGTGCCGTTGTGAGTCAGCAGGGCCAGAGAAACAATCTTCTCCCCTGTGACACTCCTGTAAAGGACTAAGATGAAAGTTCCTCATTCCTTTATGCTACCGTATATGCTCTGCAGTTCAATAAAGATGCCAGGCTGACCCTTAGATCAGATTATTCCACATCACAGCTAGATTAGAACAGCAGGGACTACAACTCTTCATAAACTGGGCTCACTCTTGGGTAAATGTTGATCTTTCTTCTTTTAGACAGCATTACCACACTCTTCTGAGAGGGAATATGGCCCCTCCTCAGCACTTAGGGGGTCTCCCCTTCTTCCATTTCAGGAGGGAGGGGCAGTTACCATGGCCGAGGAATCTCTCTGGTCTTGCATTACAGCCTTATTTTTGCAATCTATTCCAGGCTATCGGGCAGACTCCTAAACAAGCTCTCATACTGGGAAGGGGGCCGAGTCCTCTCATGCCAGTGCTCAATCCCACTGCACCTGAAGAGGACATTCTGCTTGGCTCTGAGGTCAAAAGTGGGTTACTGATAACTGCAAACAGAAGGAAAATTAGTCTTCCCCCGAGATGAGCCTTCTAGATGCGTATCCAAGATGAACTGTCAAGTGGCTGGCCCTAAAACCATACATACAAGCAACAATAAACAATAGGTTGTGTTGATGTGTTTATGCCTATATGTGTGTATGTAACAATAATAGTAATTGAGACGGAGGCCATAAATCTGAGAGGGAGTGGAGAATGCATGGAAGGGGTTAAAGGAAATAATGTTATTTAATTTTAATTTAAGGATAGTCAATAAAAGTGGGTTACTAAGAGCTAAGTCAAGTATGGGAGACAGGTGAAAAGAAAATGCCCAACATCTCCTGATGGAAGTCTTTTTGAATCATGAACAGGTGAATACATTCATCACCCTCCTTGTCACAAAAGCCAATTCTGTGGTTTCTAAAACCAAACAACAATAACCACAGCTACTTCTCATAGGCAAACTGTCAATCATTTGGTCACCAAGTTATTTCTTTTTCCTACAGGCTGCTGGACAGGCCCTCCTGGCCCATGTTAGATACCTAACCCACCGGTAAACAGACAGCTTAGTGCCATTCTCAGAGCCCAACATCTGGGCTCAAGCCTGCTCCTAACCTTCCCTGAACCAGTAGTCCTTTCTCTGAGTCAAGAGAAAAAGAAGTGTGTTTGATTAGAGCCCACTTCAGTCGTCTGATAAACTCAGAGGACCTCTGCAGAGTTCTTGGCCATCTCCTGCTGCCTGTAGAAAGCACCCAGGTAAAATTTTCCTAACAACGTACACAGTTCGTGGTTTCACTGGTCAGAGAGCCCTCTTCAGAAAAAAAAAAAAAAAAATGCACATTCAAGTCAGAGGCCCAAATTCCTTTGCAATCACGAATGTTCTTTAGCTATACTTTCATGATGAATGTTTATCACAATAGAGATGGTCAGGAACTAACCATTTTTCTACTAAAACCAATTAAAAAATCTAGTAAGAGTTACTTTCAGGGGCCTGTAAGTAGCCCTGTAGTTCCTTTCCCAAGTATACCACCTGCTGGAATGGGTCAGGCTCTTCTGTGTGACTTCCTTTGGAAACACAGGAAATATTCTCCAATGGCCTTCCTCTATGCAGGATATACACTTCTTAGAGTCCAGTCTTGGGGCACTTCATAGTCTCTGCTCAACTGGATAGTTGATTTAGCAGAATAAGACTCTTTCAAAAGAATCCCTGATTCCTAATAGGTCTTTATGGACAAATACCAAGTACTGACTGCCATTTTAGTTCCTCTGTCCTCTTAGACCTCCAAACTTTGGTAGTTGAATACCCCAAAAGAGAGTTTCACAAGTCCTTTAGTTTTAACTTTTGTGAAGCATTTAAACAAAGCCTGGACAAGAGCAAATTCTGTTTTTATTCAGGTTCAGTTTCACCAGTAGTTAAAAGAAGAAATTGTGGTACATTTACACAATGGAATACTACTCAGTAATTTAAAACAAGGAAATCATGAAATTTGAAAGCAAATGGGGGAATCTAGAAAAGATCATCCTGAATGACATGTCCCAGAAGCAGAAAGACACACACAGTATATACTCACTCATAAGTGGATATTAGACATATAATATAGGATAAACATACTAAAATCTGTACACCTAGAAGCTAAGCAAGAAGGAGGACCCTGGGTAAGAATGCTGAATCCTCAGAAAGACAAATGGGATGGACATTGGAAGAAGGATAAAACAGGAAACAGGACAGGAGCCTAACACAGAGGGCCTCTGAAAGACTCTACCCAGCAGTGTATCAAAGCAGATGCTGAGATTTATAGCAAAACTTTGGGCAAAGTGCAGGGAATCTTATGAAAGAAGGGGGAGACAGTAAGACCTGGAGAGGACAGGAGTTCCACAAGGAAAACAACAGAACCAAAAAATCTGGGCCTAGGGGTGAGCCTTACCAGGCCACAGAGAAAGACAGTGCAGCCAGTCCTGATGACACCTGATAAGCTAGGGTAAGATGAAAGGGGAAGAGGACCTCCCCTATCAGTAGACTTGGAGAAGGGCATGGAGGAGATGAGAGAGGGAGGGGAGAGGGTGGGATTGGGAGTGAATGAGGGAGGGGACTACAGCTGGGATACAAAGTGAATAAACCATAATTAATATAAAAAAATAAAAATTTAATAAAAAAGATTGTGTTTTGTCATAGACAGTCTATTGTGTGTGAAGGGACGTTATGTCTTAAAAGGGAAAGTTAAGAGAAACATATTAATCTCTTGGAGGTGTTGACAGTGTGGACACCAGAGGGATATATTCCTCATTTTTCTATGCAGGTTAGAATGTTTTCATACAGAATCCTTACTGAAACACACTTCCAGAGAAAATATCACAAAGTACCCTGAGAGTCACCACATTCAAGTCAACAAATACCACCCAAGTTAATTACAAGAGCACTTTAAATGCTTCAAAAATTAACTTGAAGAAGAGCAATGAAAACTGTTACAACCCCTTGGGAGATTTTAGTTTGCCGATTCTTATTAGGATTCCAGGCTAACCCATCCATAATCCACGATTCTGGTCCCTAAAGAAGGCACTTAAGCCCAGGTATCCAATCCGTTCCTGGAGTTCATTGCCTCCCCAGGCTCAGGTTGCACAGAACAACACTGTGAGATCAACCTCAGTACCCAAGAAAGCAGGATGCTCTTACATCACCACTCTGTGTTACACCAATCCTGCTGTAAAACTCTGTGCCAGTCTTACAAGGGTCTGTCTTCCATCATACTCTCCCACTTCCAGTGGGAAGCCCCTTGCAGGTGCTCAGCTCATAACCTCCCTGTGTCCCAGCGTCTTCTGCATCATGTAACCACAGCACACCTGTTGGGTGTTGATCACAATTTAGCAACTTACAGGGCTCTTGACGTGATCACTGCTTATGGTGTGACAGCCAGCAAGCAAGAGGCCCACAAAACAAGGATCCTGGTGAAGTGCCATTTGAAAGAAGGATGGAAGAAAATAAAATGCAGGTCTCGAATATATCTGGGCACAGGGGTCTTTTCTGAGACTGATTTTCCAACTAAGGACCATGCATGGATATAACTTAGAACCCCTGCTCAGACATAGCCCTTGGCAACTCAGTATCCAAGTGGGTTCCCTAGTAAGGGGAACAGGGACTGTATTTGACATGAACTCAGTGGCTGGCTCTTTGACCTCCCTCTGCCCCAAGGGAGAAGCAGCCTTGCTAGGCCACAGAGGAGGACAATGCAGCCAGTCCTGGTGAGACCTGATAAACCACGGTCAGATGGAAGGGGAGGAGGATCTCCCCTATCGGTGGACTTAGAGAGGGGCAGGGAGATGATGGAGGGAGGGTGGGGTTGGAAGGGAATGAGGGAGGGGGCTACAGGGATGTAAAGTAAACAAACTATATAAAAAATAAAAATGTAATTAAAAAGTAAAAAGAAATAAATATAAATTTTAAAAAAATAAAAAATGCAGGTCTTTGTCCCCAACACTTTAGCAGGTAATCAGACCAGGTCTGGTCAGGACACCTTCTAGCAACACCCAGGTGTCAGAACCCTTCAGTTTCTTCAGAACCTCCTCAACCCTTCATGATGGGCAGCAGATGTCCATGAAAGGAAACTCAGGAGAAACAAGACCAACGTTCCTAGCAGGGGGATTGATCAGGCTCATTTCAGCAAGCCCAACCTCTGACACCAGAGACTGGCAGCTGTGCTAATAATCGTTTACAGAGTCCTGGTGTTTTGCTCTAAAGAACTATAGATGCTCCAAACAACAGAAGCATTGCCAAGTCCATCTCTGTCGGCATTCCAAAAAGGTTCTGTTAATTGCAATGACTCCTGTTGGCTTCCCATTGGTTCTCCCATTGTTGAATTTCCAGCCAGTGCACCAACTGAGATGGTTAATCCTCCAGTATCAAGTTCTTGACTTGCACACCTTCAAGAAGGAAGTAAGCAGACAGCAAAGACGAGACTAGGAAACTTTTGCCACGTTGGAACAATTCAAAGAAGAGAGTAAAAGCTCAAGCAGAAAAGTGAGTGCCCTGAGATCCTTGGCGGCCGCAGGATGCCAACTAAGATTCGACCTGAGTGCCACAGCTCTGTGCTCTCAGCAGGCTTCAGGGTGCAAATTAAGAAAAGCCTGTTTCAGCTGCATGTCCTCCAGGCTTCGGGGTGCCCAGCCCAGAAGTTACAAGTGGTACAGCCCTGTGCTCTCAGCAGGCTTCAGGGTGACAGCCAGAGGACCGTTGGCTCGTTGGCTCGTAGGCTCGTATTACAGTTTGAAAGCTCTTGGAGTGCTTTGGGGTGCTGGCCAACAACAATCCCTGGCAGAGTGATCGTTGACAGGGGTAACAGGCATAGCATATCTCCTGTCTCTGGCAGGTCTTGAAGGCCTGAGTTGCAAGTCTCTGAAGCAATGCATCTTTAAGATTTCAAATAGTTGCAAAGATGAATTCCCTTCTGCAGCCAAAACGTGGAGCCTTGGAGGCTGAGAAGAATGAGTCTCCCAACCTGCGCCTGCAGGTGAAGTTCTGGAGGCTGGTCTGAGCCAGCTCCCTGCCTGGGCCAGAAGCCCCCCATGTGGCAAGACTCTTAACTAGTCTGCCTCCTCTCCAGAAAACCTTAAAGGCATCCTTTCTCAGGAGACTGTCTGAGAGCTAAGCTCTGACTAGATAGGGAGCCAGCTCAGAGCAGGACTCTGTCTTTAGCCTTCCTCTTCGGCAAAGAGGAGGAGCCTGTGAGGGCCACAACACAGACAAGAACCAGAAGACTGCAGAGAGCCAGAACTGGCCTGTCTGAGCACGTGGTTCTGAAGTCTTTCTGCTCTCTCCTCCAGGGAACAATCTGTGAAGGCAGATTTTTCCAGAGTTCTCCTCTATGGCACGGAACCAGGTGGCCCTTGATGGGCCAAATGTGTGTGCATGAAAATAGGTTGCAAAACGGAGCCAATCAAGGAAAGGCTGTCAACTCTAAAGGGTGAGGGGGCAGCGAGGCCACCAGAAGTTCCCCTCAGGTGTCATGTTCCATTTTCTCATGTTCCCTTATTCTTTCTCTAAGGCTTTATGCTGCTGTGTTGGTTGGTTTGCTTATTTGGTGTGTGGGGTGTGTGTGTGTGTGTGTGTGTGTGTTTGGATGTTTTAAGTATGTGTATGTTGGATGTTTGGATTTTTTTGAGAATTTTTTTATTTTTTGACATCATTTCCACCCCTCTCCCCCCTCCCCTTCCAACTCCGGCTAACAATTCCTCACAAACTCATGACTTCTCCTTTAGCTTTATTGTCACAATACACATGCATACATACCCACATACACAATGTATAATTTACAGATATGCATATATATACATATGTATCCTAATGAGTTGTTAAATGCTACATATATGTTCACGTGTTTAGGGCTGAGCATTCTCACTGGCTAACAGCAGAAATAACATCCCTGGAGGAAACTGTTGTTCCTTCTCTCAGGAGCCATCGGCTGCCTGTACCTCTTCCTTTGGGGAGAGTCTTATGAAATGTCCCCATCTGTGCTGGCACGCCAGCTGGTGTTATTGGTATGCAGGTCTTGTCTTGGCAAACACTTTGTTGATATTTCCTGGGAGCAGCCTCCCCATTACACCTTAGAGAATGCTATGTTGCAGCAGGCATCCTGGTCCTCTGGCTCTGACAGGGTTGCTACTTCTTTTCACAATTGTCTCTGAGCCCTGGGTGTAGGGGTTTCATTGTAGGTAATCTGGTTAGGGGTGGGCACCCCACGCTCACCTACTCTCTGCATTTTGACCAGTCTCCATCAGCTGCAAAAAGGACCACCTTTGATGAGGAGTGAGAGCTGCCATGCTGGGTATATGGAAACATATTTTAACTGCACCTTGAAGTTGCCATGGCTTACGAAAATGGCAGGAAAGGGTCCTTCTCTAAGGTTTATGACCTCTCTAGCCACTGGTGAGCGATGACTTTCACCATTCCAGGCATGAACAGCCAGGGTTTTACATCAATCCATGAAGCTGGTTCCCTGACTGCTGGGTGGTGGGCTGTCAGTGAGATGACCACTTAGGGATTCCTTGCCCTTGGGGTTCTGGGACCATTTCTTCTCCTGTCATATCCTTGCTATTCCCTTATGATAAACTTTCAGGAGAGAGGAACCTACTAGAGAGAGTGTGCGTTCTTCTGATACACAGCCTCTGGCTAAGCAGTCCATCCATTTTTAATCATGAGCTAGATTTTTCTAATATCTGTGAGGAATCAGAAGATCATGGCTACTGTGCAGCCTCTACCCATCAATTCTCCATTTTTAGTGAGAGCTCAATACATCATTACAAAAGAAGTTTAAGTGAGGTCATTTGGGAAGTGTTGAAATGTTGGAAGTTTCCTGGTAAAAACAAAAGTGAAAGGGAAGGAACTGTAGGGAATGGTTGGGTATAAAGGCACACGGCCACTAAGGGCACACAGCCAGTGACTGCTCCTGCTGTTCGCTCCTGAGCCTCAGTTGCCCTCCAGAACATCACGATGCTCAAGGTATTGTGGTATTTGGTATAGCTTGCCTAAAATGCTTTTCTGGCTTGACTCTTCCCTTCTCAGTCCATTGGTCTTTTAATAGCTATCTGCTCTGCTGCAGAAATGACATCTCAACTTCTCTCCTAGCCTCTGAGCTGCCTGATTAGCTGCATGTTAGTTCTCACCAGTGTTTGACAAATAAGAGACAGGATCGCATAGCTTACTCCTAGCAAGAAAGTAGTCGTGGTAAGTTCACAGAACCCTAGCCTGAAGCTTGGTTTTCTCTGTGTCCTCTGTGTGAAGTGGGCACATTGCATCTCTGGTTATCCATTTGCTGCCGTGTTCCCTGCAGTCTCCAGCTAGGCTTTTTGAGTCAGATGGCCTCATTCACTGGCTTGGCAGTCTAGGGAGCTACGCATAGTGAGCTCACAAGGGCTCCTGACATATATTAAACAGCTCCATACTCCGCTTTAATCTACACATTAGTCACAGTATTTTACCAAGAAGATATACAAATGCCACTATAGAGTCAAGTGTGACAGGGAGACATTTGACTTGTAGATGAAGTGTGACTCACAGTGTGGGCAGCAGTGATTATTCCCCTTATGGTCTCTCCCTTCAAGGTCAGGGGGAGGTTTGTTCTTTAGCTCACAGATCATGTTCGGCAGCATCAGCGGAGCCCACTGGTCTCACTGTCATAAATCATATAGGCATGTCCTTCTAAAGCCAGCCCCACGGCCTTGGGTTCTATGCTGGTGTCCCTCATGTGTTATTCATCCAATGTTCAACTGGTACTTGGAAATTACATCGACAAGTTATTATTACATCTGTTCTTTTCTCTCCTTCCTTCCCTTTTATGCATGTAAAATGTTTATCAAAATATTTACCAGCAGGAAAAGCAGTATTATTGCTTTCTTCTGCCCTCACCAGAAACATCCAATGCAGTATCCTTTTTTGCTATCCAGGCCATCTCCTCTTCTGCTTTCTTCTACTCCAAGCTTCCTTGTTTTCTGTCAAAGCTTTAAAAATGTAACAGATATTCCATTTATTGTCTGACTGATAGATCTGAAGACTCTAATGTAAAGGGGTTACAGCTGAGACAGGAGGATTGTCACGAGTTCACTGCCAGCCTAAACTAGATAGTGAGTCCAGGCTAGCCAGGTCACAGGGAAGACCCTGCCTCAGAATGAAAAAGAAAGGGAAGGGGAGGAAAAGAAGGGGGAGGAAGAGAAGGGAAGAGAAGAAAGGGAAGAGAAGGGGGAAAAAGAAAGAAAGAAAAAGCTGGTGTGTAGCAAAGGTGGAAATTTTTTATATAGGCATGAGTTCTATTTCTGTGACTCTACTCTGACAGTGAGCCCAGTGTGAAAGACCTTAGACACTTCAGAATCTCTAATCTGGTAAGTCTTTTGGCTGCTATTTTTAAATGAGCAATATTTCAGTCGGAGATGGAAAGGAAGTTAGGCAATGTGTGATCATCAGATGTGTAAAGGGAAACTACTGAATAGTTCATAGTTCACTAAAAGAACTCAGTGCTTACACCTAAAGAAGATAAATGAGAAAGAGGACTCAGGGTAAGATGACCAATCCTCACTTAGAAAGACAAATGGGATGGACATTGGATGTAGGAGAAAACAAGTAACAGACAGGAGCCTACCACAGGGGGCCTCTGAAAGACTCTGCCTAGCAGTGTATCAAAGTAGATATTAAGACTCATAACCAAACCTTCAGTAAAGTGCAGAGAATCATATGAAAGAAGGGGGAGTTAGTAAGACCTGGAGAGTACAGGAGCTCCACAAGGACCAAATATATCTGGGCACAGGAGTCTTTCATGAGACTGTTTCTCCAACCAAGGACCATATATGGATATAATCCCTGCTTGAATATAGTCCATGGTAGCTCAGTGTCCAAGTGGGTTCTCTAGTAAGGGGAACAGGGACTATTTCTGACATGAACTCAATGGCGAGCTCTTGCACTAACCCTCCTCATGAGGGAGGAGCAGCCTTGCTAGGCAGCAGAAGAGGACATTGCATCCAGTCCTGAAGAGACTTGATAAGCTAGGGTCAGATGGAAGGGGAGGAGGACCTCCCTGTTAGAGGACTTGGAAAGGGGCAGGGAGAAGATGAGGGAGGTAGGGAAGTTGGGATTAGGAAGGAATGAGGGAGGGGGCTACGGCTGGGATACAAAGTAAATAACCTGTGATTAATATAAAAAATAAAATTTAAAAAAAGGCAAAAAAAAAAAAAAGAACTCAGTGCTAAGCACGTGGTGAGATGCCCCTTCTAGCTGACTATTTTTTAATATATTTTCCTGTGAAGGCACAAAGAAACAAAAGTATCACCTGTGTGCTGAAGAGCTTGGTATTTAAAGGAATTGCAAAGTCCTCTGCTACAGCTTAAGAGACATGAATCATCCTGCCCTGGAGGGGGGTGGGGGTTGTATCTGGTTTGTGAGTAGAGGCAGAATACCTTCTACATGCAGTGGTCACAACCTGCAATGTCCTTCCATCCCCCACTCCTCGGTCTAGGCTTCCCTTCACTGTCATGCTCAGTTGCCATCATGTGCTGAGCCACCTGTGTTATCACTGTGACTGGGCAAAGTTCCACATCCTCACAACTGATGTGGGTGCCTAGTTCATATCGCTTTTTAGGAAAGAAACTCAATTATGTCCATCAGGTTTCTTCTCACAGAGCAAAACTCTTTACCTGAAGGTCTTAAAAGAAGTGAGTGGACACAGAGCGGGGTGCGCTGTTTTAACCTTTTTCTCTTTGAAGTCTGTCACAGAAAGCTTTGCGGGAATGATTCATGGCTTGAAGGTGGACCACCTGACAGACAGTGTCATTCAGAGAAGCAAGAGGATGATCCTGGATTCTCTGGGCGTCGGTTTCCTGGGAACAGGCACCGAAGTGTTCCAGAAAGTCTTGCAATATAGTAAAGTAAGAAGTCCAAAGTTTGTTTTCAAGATCAAAACAAGCGCGTGCACAGGTGTACTCCAGAAGTCTGCCTTTGGAGAACTTACTCCGCTTAGTCTGATTGCATTTGATGTGTCAGCATCTTTCTGTACACAGTTCCTCTGTCTCATCATCTTATTTTAGAATCCATTCCTATCCATTACTAATTCAGTCTTAACACCATTCGCTGGTAATATCTCACAGCTATCTACTTGTACGACTAAATGTACATTTCAACCTGAAAATCTTAGAAGTGAAAACTTAGCCCAGGCAGCTTTCTCTAGAGAAAAGTCTATTCGAGTGCTCTGAGCAGAAAGTAGGCATGTCCACGGCAGATAGAGCAGCCACCCTCAACAGGATGCCCTTGGTGTGGACAGCTAGTCTGTCCCCTCCCATCTCCCACCCTCCAAGACTTACCCCAAGATCAAATAAGAGTGGATTCAGACTCACCTGTGTGGAGCTTCTAGAGCATGACTTGGTCATGAGCAGATCTCTGTCCTCTCCCTGACAAGACTAGTGTTGTCAGGGAGAGGACAGAGATTCCTTGGCAAGGAAGAGCGACCCCCCACCAGCCGGGCTGGCCTCACAGGAGTTCGGCGAGGCCTGCTGCAGTGCCTCCAGGATGAGGAGCAACTCTTGAGATGCCAACTCTGAACATGGCTGCACTAACGGACTTTCTTCTGTTCTAGATCTACAGTTCCAATACCTCCAGTACCATTTGGGGGCGACCAGACTTCCAGCTCCCACCCACATACGCTGCTTTTGTTAACGGTGTCGCTGTAAGGAAGTTTACCCATCTTTTCTTGAATTAAATCAGTATGACTCCAGAGGCAGGAAAATGATTTACAAATGAGGGCACTGAGGTTCAGAGATCTGGAGTGGCCTGCCCTTTCTCCTCATTTCATGTTTCTACAATAAAGTGGTACTTTCCCCAAAATTTACAAATTAGAAGGAATGGAAGGGTCTAGATTAAAAATACTGTAAAGTATTTTAATTCTGGACCTTGGATGGATATAGAAAAAAAAAAAAAGTACGCTGTATATGTAATCTAATACCCAAACGTAATGCCTTCTTGAGTCCTATGGTGGTGGGTCCCAGTATCTGTCCAGTACTATTCTCTTTGTATAGTCATCAGGTATTTACTCAGAAAGAAACAATGGCTGCAGAGGATCTCCAGTTTCTCAATGAAAAAATCAGAACTTTTCATCTGACAGATCATTTTAATGTTATTTCCTGCGTGTCAGAGAAAGCCCACAGGACATAATACAGATATAAGCATGTTAGGATTCTAGAGATATAGTAACCGGCTTGTGGGGACAGCAGCTCTGACTGGTGGATCTAAACCCACTGGCATGTCCTGCAGGCAGTAAGAAACACACCAGCCACAGCAGGTAGACATGAAAATCTGTGTTTAAATGAACTTCTGGTTATTACTGTTTCATATATGGAAGAAGTAAATGGCTGGGATTAAAAAGGACAGAACCTTAGGACTTAGACTACTCATTTTAAAATACAGCTCCATAGTTAATGTAGCTTTGAGCCCTCTTTGCTGTTCCTGCAACTTTGACAAAACTTCTATATTACTTCATGATGGATGCACAAAAATATATGGTCCGATACATAACAAGTGATATTAAGTTTTTAGTGCCACTTGTTTAAAAGGTGGAGGGAGAAGGAAAGGGCAGCCTTGTGAGGAGGAGTATAGATCTTCCCAGGAGCTCATGGGTGGGACTCAGCATCCTCCAGGAAATCACTAGCTACTCTCTAAGGTCCTGCCTTCCTCTGACAAAGGAGCAGGGCAACCATCATGAAGCAGACTGGGTTGGGAGGAGCGGAGGATCTGGCAGGAGTTGAGGGAGGTGAAACCATGATCAAAGGATATTCTATGAATTTTTTTTCAACAAAAATAAATACTTTTTTAAAAGAAAAAATAATCACGGTCAGTTTTTAGGATGTAAAATTTCAGATAACGGGGTCCCCCCAATCTCTCAAGATCATTGCTAAATTAAAAGCCAATCCAACAGGCAGCACATTTAAGGGCATTTCTGAGTGCATTTGCTTTTTGTGTCTGTTCGTACAGGTTCACTCCATGGATTTCGACGACACATGGCACCCTGCCACCCACCCTTCTGGAGCCGTCCTACCTGTCCTCACAGCCTTATCAGAAGCCCTGCCTCAGACGCCAATGGCTTCTGGCCTTGACCTGCTGCTGGCATTCAATGTTGGTATTGAAGTACAAGGGCGACTGCTGCACTTCTCCAAGGAAGCCAAGGACATACCAAAGAGGTACGGAGACTGTGCCATCAAGGAGAGCCACACTGCCCTCTGTCGGTCAGTAGCTGGCTGTGTAGCGTTGTCTGGATTACAGGCTGGCACTGAAAAACCGTTACCCTTACAGCTGCAAACAACACCATTCTTAGCCATAGAACAAGCCTTATGTCACCAGCGTGGTGGTGCATGCTAGTACAAACAAACAAACAAACAAACAAGCAAAAAACAAAAACCAAAACAAACAAACAAAAAAGAACAAGCCCCATGTCTATATAGGAAGCTGGGACCTGGAATCGATGTTTGAAAACTTCCCTCGGGCTTGTAAAGCCAACTTAGCTGCAAAGACCAGGAGATAACTTGGAGGTCTGCCGGTCTAAGGTGATTCCTGTCACCTGCATCCTGGGTATCGCTGAATGCTCCTCAAGCTGGAGTTACAGGCAGCTGTGAGTTGTAAGTCTTGGAACCCAACCTGGGGCCTCTGCAAGAGCAATGCATGCTCTTAAGTGTTGGACCATCTCTCCAGCCCCCATAATTTTATAATTGCGTCTTTATTCTCTGAAAGTTCCATAATTTATCCGTTGTGTGTTGATCACGTCCTCGGTCCGATCCTCCTGCCTCATTGTGTCCTCCCACTTCATCTTCCTCTCAGATGAATACCTTCTTTTTAATTTTTCCTATTAGTAACCCTGAGTCCATTAGTGCTGCTCCTATACACACGGGTGTGTGACTATCCGTGAGGGTTCGAGCAACCGACCAACAGGCACATCCTGGAAGGAGAGCGAGTCTCCCTCCCTCAGAAGTCATCAATGTTTCTCTTGTAGGGTGGGGTCTCCTCGCCCCTCCTCTGGCTTGATCTTGTGCAGGTCTTGTGAGAGAACCCCAGCTGCTGTGAACAGCTGGAACTTGGTATATATGGGTAACCCATCAACAGCTGAGCACTCAGAGCTATTTATAATCAGCACTCTGGCCAGCTGTGAGTCAGTGTGCCCTGTGGGGTGGGGTGGGGAGCTTCTTTGATAGCAGCGCCAATGTATGGCTATAAACACAGGTGTTTAAAATACAGCTTAACAGTGTAAAACAACAGTAGATTCCAACCCACTGACCTTCCCCAGGACCTATGATCTCCCCAGTCTTGGGCACTTACCCAGTTTATAGTATCAGATGTGAAATATTTCCTGTGGTGCAAATTTCAAACCCAACCAGAAGGCAGTGGTTACTCCCATGCTTTTTTTTTTTTTTATGCTTACCATGCAACAAAACCTTTATTAACATTTTTAACAGAGGTTCAGCTATTACTGAAACTTGTAACTTCTAAACTTAAATTGGGGCAAATGGCTAGAGTGCAGAGTACTGCCATCACTGCCCACTGGGAATGCAGACTGAAGAATAGCCAACCCTCAGAAGGAGCGGGGTTGACTCTTTTAGATGTTGTAATCAGAAAGAGTGCAGCCATCTTTCAGCTGCTTGGGGGGAGATGCCCTCCTTATCCTGGATCTTGGCCTTCATGAAGATCTGCATGCTGCCCCTCAGGCAGAGACCAGGTGCAGCCATCTTTCAGCTGGAGGTGGAGCCCAGTGACACCATTGAGAACGTGAAGGCCAAGATTCAGGATAAGGAAGGCATCCCACCAGACCAGCAGAGGCCTAGCTTTGCCGGCAAGCAGCTGGAAGATGGCTGCACCCTTTCTGATTACAACATCAGTTGAATTTCTTGCCTTTGCCTTTCAGGTTTCATCCTCCCTCTGTGGTGGGGACTTTGGGAAGTGCTGCTGCCGCATCCAAGTTTTTAGGGCTCAGCTTGACAAAGTGCCGAGAGGCCCTGGCTATTGCTGTTTCTCATGCTGGGGCACCCATAGCAAATGCTGCCACTCAGACCAAGCCCCTTCACATTGGCAATGCAGCCAAGCATGGGATGGAAGCCACATTTCTGGCAATGATGGGTCTCCAAGGCAACAAAAGGATCTTAGACCTGGGGTCAGGGTTTGGTGCCTTTTTTGCCAACTACTCCCCCAAAGACCTTCCAAGCCTGGATTCTCATATCTGGCTGCTGGATCAGCAGGATGTAGCCTTCAAGAGCTTCCCGGCCCACCTGGCTACCCACTGGGTGGCAGATGCAGCTGCGGCTGTGAGAAAACACCTTGTGACTTCAGAAGGGACCCTGCTTCCTGCTGACCACATCGAGAGAATTGTGCTCAGGATCCCTGATGTCCAGTACGTAAACAGGCCCTTCCCAGACTCAGAGCATGAAGCCCGCCATTCCTTCCAGTATGTGGCCTGTGCCATGCTGCTTGATGGTAGCGTCACTGTGCCATCCTTCCAGAGCCAGGGCATCAACAGACCTCAGGTGAGAGAGCTGCTCGAGAAGGTGGTGCTGGAGCACCCCCCTGACAACCTGCCAAGCTTCAACACACTGTACTGTGAAATAAGCATCACTCTAAAGGATGGAACCACCTTCACGGAGCGCTCTGACACCTTCTATGGTCACTGGAGGAAACCGCTGAGCCAGGAGGACCTGCAGAAGAAGTTCCGCACCAACGCCTCAAAGATTCTCTGCAGGGACACAGTGGAAAGCCTTTTGAAGGTGGTCGAAAGGCTAGAAGACCTAGAAGACTGCTCCATGTTAACCACACTTCTGAAAGGACCCTATGCCCAAGAGGAGGCCTCAAAACTCTCCGGCATGGTCTCCTTCCATCGCACAACCCTGCCCATCTGAACAACTTAGCACTAGAAGAGATACAACAGTTTGCTTTATTGCTCCATCTTCTCCAGCAATGACAGAGCAAGGTAGAGAGTCCAGAAACAGAGATAAGTGTATTTGGAAGGAGTCCAAAGCACCTGTGGTCCGCTTTTAATCTTCTCTGAGGAATTATTTATTAACTCTGGGAACTTCACAGGTGTAGAGGAAGTTGAACCTGTGTGCTTCTGGCTGTGGAGCAGCAAGCTTGGTCTGGCCACAGCAGATCCAGAGAGGGTGGGAACTGTCTCACCCTCCTCTCTAAAACAGCTGATTGGAGGCAGCAGCAGCTGTCTCTCTCTCTCTCTCTCTCTCTCTCTCTCTCTCTTTTCCATACATAGCCCTGGATATGTAGCCAAGAACCCTCTGCTTCAGCTTCTCTTCTGCAGAGATGAGGCAGTCTGGGATGGGGTAGGGAAGCAGCTTGGCTTAGGACCCATGCTTTCATTCTTTATGAAAGGTGGTCTGTTAGCTCAAAAAATTACTGTGAGAAATTCAGAGGCACAATAAAAAAAAATCAAAAGTGGAAAGATATAACTGTGTGAGTAATGAAAATATTAACTATAAAAGATAGAGAGGTCACATTAGCAATCATGGTGAATGTTTTCTGAATTCCTGGTGTTTTCAAGAAAAGAACAAGCTCTCAGCTCCCTATGTTGACTTGTAAGCATTCACATGGAAATGTGTTGGGTGACCATTTGAGAACTTCAACAGAACATATCAGTTCCCAGTTCATATAACTAGAAAAAAAAAAAAACGATAATACAAAGGAAGAAGAGAAAGGAAGTAAAAAGATGTGTATTTAAAAAATCAATCAAACAAGATGTTTGGAAATCATCATATAAAATTATAGAATACTGAGAATATCTACAATTCAAGATACAAACAAAAACAAGAAATACTCTAGCTAGGTAGAACCAAGATTGTTAGACCATGCTTTTAAAAAAAATGCTTAGCAGTTTTATTGATGTTTTATTAATCACCCACTTGAAGTGTACAGTTCAAAGACATTTAGTAAATTTGTGTTAACATTGCCATAATTGAGTTTTGGAATACTACCATTCCAAAAATTCTACCATTCTAAAAATTCCTTTGTATCTATTTGACATAAGTCCCCATGCCCACCTCCAATATTTAGCCCAATGTGAGCTTTTAAAATATCGTTTTGCAATCTTCTACAATAAAAGATCTTCTGGAGGTATCTCCATCCCTGATCTTAAGTTGTACTATAGAGCAACAGTTTTAAAAACTGCATGGTACTGGCATAGAAACAGAATAGTGGATCAATGGAACCGAACAGAAGACCCAGAAATAAAGCCACACACTTATGGACACCTGATCTTTGACAAAGATGCCAAAACCATACAATGGAAAAAAATATAGCATCTTCAACAAATGGTGCTAGTCCATCTGGATGTGTACATGTAGAAAAATGAAAATAGATCCATACTTATCACCCTGCACAAAACTAAAGTCCAAGTGGATCAAAGACCTCAACATAACACCAGACACATTAAATCGGCTAGAAAAAAAAGTGGGGAATACCCTAGAACTCATTGGTACAGGAGAAAACTTCCTGAACAGAACACCAACAGCACAGGCTCTAAGAGCAACAATCAATAAATGGGACCTCATGAAACTGAAAAGCTTCTGCAAAGCAAAGGACACTGTCATCGAAACAAAGCAACTGCCTACAGATTGGGAAAGAATCTTCACCAATCCTTTATCTGACAGAGGACTCATATCCAGTATATATAAAGAACTAAAGAAGCTGAAAAGCAGCAAACCAAGTAACCCAATTAAAAAATAGGGAACAGAGCTAAAGAGAATTCTCAATAGAGGAATATCAAATGGCAGAGAAACACTTAAAGAAATGCTCAACCTCATTAGCCATTAGGGAAATGCAAATCAAAACAACCCTGAGATTTCACCTTACACCCATCAGAATGGCCAAGATAAAATCTCAAGTGACAACACATGCTGGAGAGGTTGTGGAGAAAGGGGAACCCTTCTCCACTGCTGGTGGGAATGTAAACTTGTACAACCACTCTGGAAATCAATCTGGCGCTTTCTCAGACAACTAGGAATAGCGCTTCCTCAAGATCCAGCCATACCACTCCTAGGCATATATCCAAAAGAGGCTCAAGTACACAAAAAGGACATTTGCTCAACCATGTTTGTAGCAGCTTTATTTGTAATAGCCAGAAGCTGGAAACAACCCAGATGCCCCTCAACTGAAGAATGGATGCAGAAATTGTGGTATATCTATACAATGGAGTATTACTCAGCAATGAAAAATAAGGAAATCATGAAATTTGCAGGTAAATGGTGGACCTGGAAAGGATCATCCTAAGTGAGTTGTCCCAGAAGCAAAAAGATACACAATGTATATACTCACTCATATAGACATACAACATAGGACAAACCCACTAAAATCTGTGCATCTAAAGAAACTAAGCAAGAGAGAGGACCCTAACTAAAACGCTCAATCCCCACCTGAAAGGCAAAGAGGATGGACATCAGAAGAAGAAGAAAACAGGAAACAACCTAGGAACCTGCTACAGAGGGCCTCTGAAAGCCAGAAGAAGAAAACAGGAAACAACCTAGGAACCTGTTACAGAGGGCCTCTGAAAGCCAGAAGAAGAAAACAGGAAACAAACTAGGAACCTGCCACAGAGGGCCTCTGAAAGCCTCTGCCCTGCAGACTATCAAAACAGATGCTGAGCCTGATGGCCAACTGTTGGGCAGAGTGAATGGAATTTTGTGTAAGAAGTGGGAAATAGTAAGAGCTGGAGAGGACAGGAACTCCACAAGGAGAGCACCAGAACAAAAAAATTTGAACACAGGGAACTTCCCAGAGACTCATACTCCAACCAAGGACTATTCATGGAGATAACCTAGAACCCTGCACAGATTTAACCTATGGCAGTTCAGTGTCCAAGTGGGTTACACAGTGATGGGAAGAGGGACTGCCTCTAACATAATCTGATTGGCCTGCTCTTTGATCACCTCCCCCTGAGGGGGGAGCAGCCCTACCAGGCCACAGAAGAGGACAATGCAGCCACTTTTGATGAGAACTGATTAGACTAAAACCAGAAAGAAGGAGAGGAGAACCTCCCCTATCAGTGGACTTGGGGAGGGGCATGCATGCAGAAAAGGGACGGAGGGTGGGATCGGCAGGGGAGGAGAGAGGGGCTTATGGGGGGATACAAAATGAATAAAGTGCAATTAATAAAAAATAAAATAAAATATCGTTTTGTCTTTTCAACCCATCTCATACAGAGACCTACAATAGATAGACACATATGCTTGGCTTCTGTTACTTAAATCTTCCCTTTGGGTTCAGTAATTTGTTCCCTTCATTGCTGGGTGTCATTCTAAGGTCCATGGTAACTTGTGTGGGAGACCTCTCCAGGTACTGTGGATAAATGCTAGCCTGTTATTCAATTAGCAATGAGAGTGAGGACTTAATACCCACCAAGGGATGTACCTCGTATAGGTAGGTGGTAGGACATCCAATGAAACAGGTCTCCAGTCCTCATGAGCTTGCAATCTAGTGTGATTGGACAGGAAGCACCTCTGTGCCTGCTCTTGCCACACTCCACTTCCCGTTTTCCTGTCCTGCTGTGGGTGTCAACTTCTGAGAACTGAGCTGTGTTCTCAGGGTCCAAAGCAGGACAGCAGTCCACGTCACACGAGAGTCTTCTTTCAGATCCCCAACATCCACGGGAAAAGCCAGGCCTGCTGGCCTGCACAGGTCACCCCAGCCCTGGGGAGTCTGATACGGCAGGATGCTGGGAGCTCACAGTTCATCCAGTTTAGCCACAACACTGACCTGCAGGTTCAGTGAAATATCCTGCCTCAAAAATAAGGTAAAGAACAATAGGTGAAGTCCCATGACACCAACCTCTGGCCTACACACACACACACACACACACACACACACACACACACACGTCAAATGCATAAACAGACAGACAGAATAACGAAAGCAAATGGCACATGAATAGTTGATAGAAAGTAAGAATTCGGTATGTTTGTAAAACAGTTGAGTGTTTTACAAGCAACTAGTCCAGTGCCTACTATATTCTTTGGCACCAACTGTTTCTAGCTGTATAGCACGTGGAAACAATGTATGATACATAACTTCTAAAAACACCATGGCTTTATGTGACCACAAAGAACACAAGATAACTAAAATTAGCTCAGGCTTCTAGCTCACTCATAAATGTAAAAGGCTACATCCCCGCTCCTGTAAATCCTCCCTGCTTTTTATTGGCGCTCCTGTCACAAAGCAAGCGCCAGGTACCTCCGATGCTGAGGGAGGAGCCTCCCGGGAGGTTAGGGAAAGTCCGGAGGATCCAGGAGCCCATCTGCTTGAAATGTGGCACGACAGTGTTGCTTTTGTTTTAAAAAGTGAAAATTCAAAACGAAGTGTGCTCACTCGAAGAATTCATGGACAGAATAATTGAATGCTGCTTCCCCAGATATGGCGGAGCTCAGGCTTGAAGTTCCTACCAAGCCGTGGCCTATGCAGTCCATTTGGTCAGAGCCAAAATATTTTTACTTGGACAAGTTCTTCTAATTATTTCCTCTAAGATGTTCATTTAAATACCCAGCTAAATAGGCAAATGAAGAGTGAATCTACAAACAATAATAAATAGTTAAAGCAACCACGATTTACTATAGAGTTACTATACTGAATTTATTTTCTTACAGAGAAAGCCAATGTGCTTTGAAAGAATACACCAGTTCTTATCACCTTAAAAACACAGTTCATTGTCATCCCCACCCTCACCCCTGAGGCCAGTCACTATGCTCATCGTAGTCTAGCTTTGTAATAAAAGCTAATGTGTCATGCTGTCGGAATAGCAGTGATGTGTATATGTGGGAGGGAGGAAGAGAGAAAGTAGGGCAAAGCTGCTCACCTCTCAGGAAACGCAACCTCTGCTTCCCTGTGTGTCATGGTCCGGACTGCT